TTCCGAAAATTAGGGTACCTGATTTTGGGATCCTTATAATAAGGATCCTACTATTTTCTGTACTTTATTGGGGTCCCGTATTTTCGGAAACCCCTATAAGGATTGAAGATGATCATGTTTAATATGGGGGGTTTCCCAAAATAGGGGACCCTAATGCAGTACCCTAAATAATCGGATCCCTATTATAAGGACCCCAAAATAAGGTACCCTAATTTTCTGAAACTCCCATATAGCCCCAACAGGGAACCAGTAAACCCCAACCCTCAACTCCTGGTCTGCTCTCAACTTCCTTACTTAAAGGATCATGGGGCTTAGTAAGTAGGGGTATAACTAGGGTAGCTATACTTACAACCCCAATTAAGGGGCTTATAACCTTACTTACTAAGTCCCATATGATCCTCCAAGTAAACCCTAAACCCTAAACCCTAACCGAATCGGTAACCTTACTTGCTAAGTCCCATGATCCTCCAAGTAGTTTTCTCGCCTCCGAGGCGAAGCTCGACTGCAGCGCCCTGTCGGGGCGGATGTGCATCTCGGCGCCCAAATGGGGGTTTCCAAAAAATAGGGGGGGCGGGGGGGGTACCTTATTTTGGGGTCCTTATACTAAGGATCCTATTATTTAGGGTACTATATTAGGGACCCCTACTTTCAGAAACCCCCAAATCATACAGTTAGTAGCGCTAGGCTGCTATTCCTTAGGTCCCTGATTGCTGTAACCCAAAACCCCATTCCAACCACTCATACAGGTCGGAATATTCAGAAATAAGATCCCCTTACCGCCACTCTGCAACTATACGCCGTACTGTAGCACTAAGTATGAAGCCCCCCCGTGCGTTAGTCAGGGTTCAGGGCTAACGGTGTTAAGTCGGTGCAAGCGTTCAGGTTTAGAGTGGCTGGTGTGGAGGGTTGTCGGTCAAGTTACGTTATGATGGTCATTGCTAGTATTGCCTTTATTATTCGTACTATGGTTGTTATTGCTTGCTAGTCTTGTTATCGTTGTTGTAATCATTATTCGAATCTCCTTTTGTTGTCACTGTTATTCTTACTCGTATTGACACATATACGTATGTCTAGTATCAGTGTGTATACCTACATACATATCAACGTGTGTGTGTATATATATATATGCATGTATGTATATTGCGTCCCTGTTCTAACCAACTGGCCCAAGTTTCACAGCCGGAACCCAGAACAATGTTGAAATAGTGCCATCTTGTGTTGGCATGCATGCGCGCACACGCACAAACATCCATCCATGCATGCATGCATGCATGCATGCCTGCATGAATGCGCAGCATAACACATATGTCTGTACGCTTATATTATATATTTGTGTGTATATATGTATATACACACACATACACGCGTATCGATACACGTGAACAGTAGTAGTAGTAGTAGTAGTAGTAGTAGTAGTAGTAGTAGTAGTTAACAGCTCGAAGCCGGGCTTTTGAAGTAATAGAGGGGTCGGAATACTTGTGGACAAGGTCTCCATGTGGCCCTTTATAATTGGTTATGGCGTAATAATATGCCTTTTATTCCCCTTAAACCCTAGAGCCCAAAAACCAAAGCCCTGAACCCTCATCCCCATTCTGAGTATGAAGTGCCGGTTCTTTCGCCTGCCAAAGCCACTAGGCAGACAATCTTCCTCCATCGCTTGGATCCTTCGGTCGCGACCAAAGCCACTTGGCATCAGGGCTTTCGAGGGCTTAGGGTTTAGATTTTTTCGTTTCCAGGGTTTCGGGTTTTGGGAGTTTGTTTGCGAGGGCTTAGGGTTTTGGGTTTTTGCTTGCGAGGGCTTTGGGTTTAGGGTTCAGGGTTGCGAGGGCTTAGGGTTTCGGAAAAAGGCTTTAGGGTGGAGGGGTATTACTTCTGGGGGTTGACGAGGGGCTTTGGGATTCCCGGGTTTAGGGTTTAGGGGGTTTAGGGTTCAGGATTTAGGGTCTAGGGTTTAGGTTTAGGGTTAGGGTTTAGGGTTTAGGGTTTAGGTTTAGGGTTTAGGGTTTAGGGATTAGGCTTGGTAATCATGGGGATTGACTTGAGAGTTTAGGGTTCGATGTTCAGCGATTTGGGACGAGCATTCCTACCTGGCTGTCAAACCCAAAGCCGAACACCCGAAGCCTCAAGCACAAGCCCGCAAGGTGCAGCATCTGCGGCCCAAGCTCGAAGAACGTATAGTAAACCCCAAAACTTGGAAACCGGGCTAAGGACAAATAGTGCTGGGAATCCCTCTACATTACTCTTAAGGATTGAGGCTATTGGGTTTCCAACTTTTGGGCTTCTACTACAGGAACCCCAAGCGCTTGCCGAGATCAAACCGAACAGCCGATGAGCTAATTCTCAGCCCTCTGCAGCTGCAGCCGGACTAAATTGACCCTTTGTTGCTGAACTTAAATGCAGGAGCACTTGCAACAGCTCGGAAAAAAACAAAATAGAGACGGGCCCGTTCGGGAGAACGCCACATTGGTGGTAGAGCCTGAGACAGCTCGCCCGATAGGGGTGAAGACATGATCCGAGCTTTTCAACGAGCAGCAGATTGCAGCCGGCAACGTGCAGACCCCTATAACGGGAGTCGGCCCGCTCGACCAGCCTCCGAGACCAGGAGAGACTGCCACTCAGGCCGCAACACGCATGGGGCTGGCAGGCAAGACCCACACATCGTATGTGGCGAAGTACAATCCCGACAGCTTAACCGGTGCTATGAATCGCACCGCGAACGCGCCGAAAGGGGCGCCGGTGCCTTCTGTAACCTTCACTACCAATATGGGTCCACCCCCTGAGGTTAAGGCCAAGGCTAGTGGCAGCAAGGCACCGCCAGCTACAAAGGCTGAGGCAACAAGGCCGCCCACAGTGGCGAGTGATCCTCCCGTGAAGGCTGCACCATCCTCGTCCGCCACGGTGCGTGTACTGGAAGCGCAGATCAAAGATGTGCAGGACGCCAACCATATGTTGGAGACCCAGGCCGACGATCTCCGCAACACTCTACATGAGGTTCGCAGGCAGCGTGACGAGGCGTGGGATGAGCTCGACGAAACGCGTCGAAGAGCAGAGCGAGCTGAGGATAGACTCGCTCGGGCCTTGGATGAGCGCTCCTCGAGAAGGCGAAGGCGAAGCTCATCGTCAGGCCGTGATCGACATCGATCGCGTGACCGTAGGGATAGATCCTACGTGGACGAGCGCAGAATCTCTGTGCGCGATCGCACATGCGATCGAGACCGCCGGGTTCTTAGCAACCCGAGAGACCGCAGCGAGCCGCCGCAAGCTGCGAGGATATCCCGCTGGGGAACTAGGCGTGCTCGCCAGGACACAGCTCCTGAGGCACCCGAGACAACCAGGCCAGTTCCCGAGCCGGTGCCTACAGGGCCCGTGCATCCTGACCATCCACCGCCAGGCCACAGAGCCGCAGGCAACCCTCCCACAGAAGGAGGAGGCAAGGCGGGAGGCAAAGGTGCCCGGAGGATGACCCCGTATGACGAGCCAGATGAAGAATGGGACACTCCTGGGCCACGGGGACCTTTAAGGACCCCGCCTGCACCGCCGGAGCCACCGCTCCGAGAGCCACATGGTCGCTACCCGGACAGGAGCGACCCGCATCGCCCCCTCACAAGACGTGAGGCGTACGACTATTTCCATCCCGACGAGTCGACGAGCGCGAGATGTGGACGGATGGAGATTGGGCGAGGTTCCGCGTGGAAAATCCACGACCGCCCGACCAGGCCGAATCATAGAAATAGATTCGCGAGTGCTAGCCATCGATATAACCGGTGTGCCATTTGACGATAATTCAGGCTTAGGCTGGAACCGAAGCATAGACTTCGCGAGCTTTCCTGATGGTACCCTAACACAGTTTTGGGAGATATTGAAGGATAAGCCTGCACCCGCACTCTGGGTAGGACCTTACAGTCCCGCATCCTTCAAAGCCGGTGATAAAACTCACCGAGACCTTTGCGAAAGGCATGACGTAAAGGTCACCTGCATCACAGAATGCACGTTGGCTACCTATCAACATACAGGGAAGCCAAAGGCCGTCAATGCAATCGGGTATTTATATACCTGTCACGAGAACCCAGCTGACTCAAGCTGGCGCTTCGAAGGGACGGTTTGTCCGCGGGGCACACTCCCGAACTCCATTCCGCCGGAAATCGGCGAGGATGCAGAGCAACAGTGCCCCGGAACACCGCCTTCCGAGTAGGGAGCGCACCTTATCTTGTGGTTGTTCCCCTTGGCATTTGCCTCTGACACCGAGCCAAAAGGGCTCGAGCACCATGAAGAGTTGTCGGGCCGTCCTTTCCCGCACTTCCCGGAC